GGGGGTGAGATGGGGGTCCACTCGTTACTGACCGTAAACAGGTTTACGGTCGTAAACGAGTTTACGGCCGTAAACACGTTTACGGTCGTAACCTCACTTAGACCGGAAAATATTGATTTTTCGAGATATTCGGGTTTCTACGCGATTTTTGGTTCCGACTCGTAAATAATTTAATTAATTATATATAACTAGATTATTTTCACAACCAAGAAGTTTGACGGAAAAGTTAACGAATTCGAAATTTAATTAACAGAAATCGCATAATGGAAAAGGAAAAAGTTTCGGGTTGTCACAAAATCAAAGTGGAAGTTCCAATGTATTTTGTATAATGCAGTGTTGTAAAACTCGTCGGGTTGGCCGATTACTCCTCCAAGTACTCGTTACTCGGCCCTTACCGAGGCGAGTTACAGAATCCCGAGTACTCCCCGATCGGCCCCTTACTGACCTGAGCAGTGTTGTAAAACTCGATCAACTCGGTAATTAATATGTATAATATACTTATTGAGAGTTATTATTTAACACACACATGTGATTATTACTACATATATATCTTAAATTTTTAGTAATTATTCACGAAGTGAGATCATTATGTGTTTTTCAGTTTTTGTGTATTCACATGTATCTAATTTTGTTATATATTTCTATCAACTTATGATTTTAACTTATGATTTTTTACATATATAATTTCCCTAAAAATATTTGTATATGAATTACCAAATCCATGTACTCCCCGAGTATTCGTTACTCGGTAGTCGACTCGACTGAGCAGTAGTCGACTGAGCAGGTACCGAGTAACGAGTTCTACAACCTTGGTATAATGTGAGTTGTTTATTCATGAAAACCCAACAATGCAACAACAAAAGCCATATATGAATAGAATTGTTATGATGTATTATTGGGTAAATGAGATGCCTTATGATGGATTTCATTAGCAAGTTGCCTAGTAGTTTAGAAAGCTCATAATATGATATGGGTTATTGTTGACCAATTAATGAAGAGTACAAATTTATTAGCAGTACGCAAAAATGGTCGATGGAGAAGTTGGTTGTTGTGTACATTACAGAAATTTTGAAAGCATGTCTTGTATTCCACATTGGTGCGATATTGGCTTATAAGTAGTTATATATGTTGGTGTCTTCTGTCACACCCCAAAACAGGAACGGCGGAAACGTTCGGGGGTGGAGGACGTCATGTTCAGTATCACAACAATGCAAAGTAGTAAACAAGCAACAACATCATCCATTGCATTAATAATATAATTTCATACAAGTTTGTTATGTCAAGTTATATAGATACCAAAAATTATACATCAAAATAAAAGATGAGTCTTGAACGAGCTCCATCTTCTCAAAACCTAGCTCCGGTACCTGTCTACTGGTGACCTGAGAATACAAGTTATTTTGAAAGAGTTTATCAGCTTTAAAGCTGGTGAGATCATAAGTATATTAGTGTCTGTATTTGTCTGAAAGTGTTTGTAAATCTGTAATTGTATAAGTTTGTAAAAGTTTGTAATTGTTTGAACTCTCCTAGAAAACCCTATGTTTCCTATTAAAAGTAGCTTTCTACCAAGGCATCTAGTATCTGTGTGTGTCTCTTGTAAGAGTGTGTATTTTCCCAAATCTGACTATCATTAACCAAAAATATAGTTTTTACATTATTTTTTATTGTGTGAATATCACAAAGTAAATGTAATGGGAAAATGAAATAGTACTGTAGTGTTGTATTAAGTAACTACTGCTGTACTAACTACTTTAAACCAATTGTTATTTAAAGTACCATGTGATCGGCATGTATCCTGCTACCGACTCTATAGAAAAACGACGATGTAAGACGTCGTAAGAAATGACGTTTGGCACCCGTAGACTTGCAAGTCCCACTGTAGCGAGCAGCAAGGTGTAGGATAGTCAATCCAGTATAGATCTATACACAAACTCATACGCTCCCCCACTTAAGGAGATTATGGATACAAAACAGTCATGACAGGTAGTGCCATGCCCCGTTAAGTGGCTCACATAAATGTAGTAATGTTTTAGTATATGTATGTGCTAGCTGTATTGTGTGTTCTCTCCCTGTCTAGCATGTATTGTTTGTTTCTCATCATAGTATCTATTGTTTGTTTCTCATCATAGTATCTATTGTTCGTTCCTCATCATAGTATCTATTGTTTGTATGTTATTGACTCATGTATGAACTGACTCATTGTATGTTTCAATGTTCTAGTAATAGTATTAGTATCTCCCTAAACTATACCTATTATAGTTTACTAGTAATGTTGTTTGAATGTATGAACATGTGTGTATACCTTTGCTACCCAAAGGTATTGCACTGAAAGAAAGAAGGAACCTTTATACCTATATACATATACATAATATATAACTAGGATTCAAACGACCTTCGGACAAATAACCTGAATACCCTAAGTCCACAACCAAACAAGGAACAGGAAGTAAGGTGAGCTATCAGTCCTAAGTCCTTTCAATCCTACTTATATAACTATATCTATATATATACACATTTAACCGAATATAAGTTTAAAAGAGTTTAAGTAAAAGCATTTGGTATGTAAAAGAGTTTGTAAAACAGTTTGAAGTAAAACAGTTTGGTAACACAGTTTGAAAAGTAATAAATCCACTTGTTTGGTAGTTATTAATCACATGTGATAGATATAATAACTATAATTGTTCAACTTGTATCCCCCCCCCATAAAAGCATTTAAAAACATTTAAAAGGTTAATTAAGGGGTATGAACTCACCTGTAGTGAGTGGTTTGGATGAACGGATTGATATAGGATGCTAAGTGTCAAGTGAAGACTTGAACACACACAAGGATCCTAGTTAACATATAGTAGCACATATATGTATCCAATTAGTCATTAAACAACTAATTAACCAAGTTAAGACATCCTAAGACATGTAAAACACCTTATTTAAGTGTTATAAGTACTAAGGATTGCATCAAAGGGTTGTAGGACATTGCTATTGAGTTTGGGGTTCAAGGGTAAACTCCCTTGGAGTTTACGGTTTTGAGACCATAACTCATTGAGTTTACGGTCGTAAACCCATGAGTTTACGGCCGTAAACTCATGGTACTTTTACCATGTTGAGTTTTGAAGCTTTACAAGTCCTAAGAAGCATTTCTGCTTGAAGTATAAGCCTTTGGAAGTGATTAGGGAACCATTTCACTCCTTTGTGGAGTTTACGGTCCGTTGACCATTTGTCTTTGGGTTTACGGCCGTAAACCCAAATGGTTTATGGTCATTTTGATGTTTCAAGCCCCTAGCACATCAAGTATGGTATCTAGACTAGTTTCCAAGGCTTTGTAAGGGACTAGGGCACACTTTGGCCCCTTTGTTAGGGTTTACGGTCCAAGAACATCTTGGACCGTAAACACCTTTGATCTTGTGTTTCCTTGGTGTTTTCTTGATGTTTAGAAGTGTAACAAGTCTTATAACAAGCCTAGGGAAGAGTACTTACTATGTAGAAGCTTGAAAAGGTGCTAAAAGTCCAAGAACACTAGTGTGTGTTCTTGGTGTTCTTGGTGAAACTTGAAGATCTACACTTTTGGAATGATTTCACGGATGGAACCATGTAAGATCACTAGATTAAGTAAGATATCAACTTTTTAGGGCTAGAAACACTTACAAAGTTGAAGATCAAGAGGAAAAGTCGGATGATACTTGAGAGGATTTGAGTTTGGATCTTGAAAATGTGAAAAAGTGGTAAATAATGACTAAGTGTCATATTTATACCCCCTTTTAGGGTTTACGGCCATAAACACCTTTGTTTAGGCCGTAAACTCCAAACTCTTGGAGTTTTGGGACATTATTGTTGCACAATAAACCCTAGGGCATCCTCTCTCCTGTTATCTCCTGAAGTACTAATCTTAAAACACTCAAACTTATTCCAAAAAGCTTGAAAGTTAGCAGAAACTGTTCTGACTTCTATTGAAGTGAATGGTTGTACAGAATAGAAATTTCGGGTTGTCACATCTTCCCTCTCCAAAAAAGCCCTTGTGTATAGAGGGAATATTCCAACGCATATAACTAGTTAGAAGACTATGTCGTACCAATATGAGATACACTAACAATGGGGACATCAAATTTATGCATGTTTTTAGAAGATTCATGCAAAGATGGACACAACGATGTGTTTAAGTACTTCTTAGCACTGATAGACAAATATGAATTGTGGGAGGACTATATAAACACTTTAGGACATGCATTGGACATATGCCTTAAAGTTTATGTTAGCTAGGATGACCATCTTCTTGAAATGATGCTTAAAAATGAAAGATTTTGTAAGGATAATAGATAAAATATTTTTCATTGATTTTGATCTTGTAAGCATATGGGATGATACCCAAACTTAAAATTCTTGAAAGACTTACTATGATCCTATAAATATCTTCGGTGATACTTAAAATTGAAATTATTTATAAAGGTGCTTAAATACATGATTTGCTTACTAATTTTGATCTTGTAAGCATCTAAGGTGATTCTCAAATTAAAGTTCTTGACATGATGCTTAAAAATAGGAAAAAAATTTACTTTATCTTTTTTATCTTGTAAACATTTAGGATGATACTCAACATTATAGATCATAAAAAAGTGCTTAGGGAAGTTAAAATTGTTTTATCTGATTTTAATCTTGTAAGCAACATGAGGAATGAGGATTACTCAAAATTAAACGTTTTGAAGTGGTGCTTAGAATTTAGGATAGAGGGAATTTGGAGGATCCATATTTTGTCGAAATTAGGAAGTGAAAATTTTTATAACGACTCTAACTTAAAAAAAGTCAAAAACCAAAATAATTTTTTTTTAAAAAAAAGAGTTTTATTTACATTTTAGCGCCAATAACATTGCTATTTTGTTCATTATGTTCTGTCAGGTAATGCGAACACAAAGAGAGATCCTCTCATCCCCCTCCTCAAGTTTTCATAGCGCTCAAGTTCAATTTTTTTAGGTTTTCAAAGCATCAGAATCAGCAACTCTGTCAATTCAATGGAAGGCGGAGGCGAGGCAAATGACGGTGGCGGTGCCATTACTGATGGATTAGAAGTCGACGGAAGTGACATTGTTGACATTAACATACGGTGTTCTGGAACGAAGTTCGTCGTTCATGTGCGCTTGGATTCGTCTGTTGAATCCTTCAAGTCTGTGATTGCAAAGCACTATGATGTACATGCGGAACAACAACGTTTGATCTATAAAGGTTGCCTTCTCAAAGACGATCAGACTCTTCAGAGTTATGGTATTCTACTTTCATCAAGTCTGGTTCTCTGCATGTTTACATGTTTACTCATTATGAATGACATCGTAATTTGAATCTAAAATGATTTAGATGATATGATAAATTGATAATTGAGTGAATGTAAAACTCAATGCCCTCAATGACATGAGTAACTCAATATATAGGAAAAGAATTACATTTACAACCCCTCAAATAATTAATGATTATATAATGAACACAAAATTTACATAAGTCTAATACCCCCCCCCCCCCACCTCAAGCAAAACTGGTGGAGGTCCGAGATGGAGCATGTTGCGAAATTGATCGAATTGGTGTCGAGGGAGACTCTTCGTGAAGATATCCACAACCTGAAGCTTGGTCGGCACAAACATGGTGAGGAGTTTTCCTGATGTAATAATCCATATCAATATGCTTGACGCGCTTATGAGAAACTGGGTTCTGGGTGAGAAACAGAACACTCTGATTATTACACAGAATGGTTGGACGGCCAGTTGGCATGACATGAAGCTCACGTAGCAAATGAGTGATCCAGATTAGTTCGGCAACAGTGTTGGCCATGGCTCGATATTCAGACTCACAGCTGGATCGAGAGACCGTTGGTTGCTTTTTGGAGCTCCACGACACAAGATTACCCCCAAAAAGATCGAGTACGTATACGTGGATCGACGACTGTTGAGACAACGGGCCCAATCAACATCACAATACCCTACCAGGTTCGTGAGCTTGGGCCTAGAAAACGTGAGCCTAAAGGACAGAGTGCCTTTGACGTATCGAATAAGACGTTTGACGGCCTGGTAGTGAAGAACCGTTGGAGCATGCAAGAACTTACTGACTTGATTAACTGCATAGGAGATATCCGGTCGAGTGATGGTCAAATACTGTAGCGCCCCAACAAGAGACCGATAATGAGTGGGATTCGTATATAGCGCCCCCAAAGCAACAAACGAGGTGTTGGCCGCGAGGGGCTTTGAAACTGGCTTAGAATCAAGAAGCCCAACACGATCAACAATGGAGGGATCATATTTTGATTGACTGAGAAAAAGCCCAGAGGGGAGATGCTTGGCCTCAAGACCGAGGAAGTAGTTGAGTTACCCCAGATCCTTGATCTTGAATTTCGTGTGGAGCTTGTGAATAAACGAACAAATGAACGATAAATCCGAGCCAGTGAGGATATCATCAACATAAACAAGCAGGTACAAGACGCAGGCACCTCATTTGAAAATAAACAATGAGGGATCAACGCGTCTACAAACAAATCCATTAGCCACAAGAAAAGAACTTAGCCAATGAAACCACGCCTGAGGGACTAGTTTGAGACCATAGATGGCCTTATGGAGTTTGCAAACGTGATCGGGGTATCGAGGATCAACAAAACTAGGCGGTTGCTTTATATAAACAATGTCCGTAAGATTTCCATGTAGGAAGGCATTATTGACATCTAACTGATGTAGCTTCAATTTGTTAATAACCATAAGAGTCAAGACGATCCAAATGGCAGCCGCTTTCACCACCGGGCTAAACGTGTGAGAACAATCCAGCCCAAGAACCTGACTGAATCCCTGAGCAACAAGTCAGGCTTTGTGCCGATCAATGGAGCCATTGGCAAGGTACTTGGTGCGAAAAAGCCAACGACACCCAACAACATTTGTGTTGGGGGGGGGGGGCGTGGAACCAAAGACCAAGTGGTATTACAAGAGAGAGCATGCATTTCGGAGCGCATGGCGGCCACCCACTTAGGATCTCGAAAAGCATCATGATGAGTAGATGGATCAGTTGAGGCAAACAATGTTGAGTACAACCCGCGGTCCGACGTATGTGACAAATCAGCCCAATGATGGGGATTAAAAATCACTGCTTTTGCCCTAGTAATCATGGGGTGACCGGCGGGAGATTGATCAATGGGCATAGGGAGCGAAACACTAGGTGCGGGGTTTGGTGATGCGGGTAGATCATCATCACTATCCGATCCAGCGGCCGAGCCAAGAGACTCGGATGAGGAGTCAGAATCGGAGGGTATAGGGTCAGCTGGTGTAACAGCCGGAGTGTCAGCTGCAGGAGTGGTGACCGGAGCGGGGCAAGGGCTAGGGTCAGCACAGACGCCGCAGGAGGAGGGACGCGACTGACAAGGAGATGAAACAGGAGGCATTGAACAGACCCGGGAGACATGCATAGATTGTGAGGTATCCTCCAAAAATGAGTGTAAAGGCAAATCATCCAACGAGACCTGCAGAGTGGCACCATCAAAGGGAAAACACATCTCGTCAAAACGAGCATGACGCGTAATGTAAAGGCGAGCTGTACATGGGTCAAGAAAAAGATAGCCCTTGTATTGTGAGTGATAACCAAGAAACACACACGGAATGCTCCGCGGAGATAGCTTATGTGCTAAATAATCACGTAGATAAGGGTAGACCTGACACCCAAACGGAAGAAAATTATCATAAGACAGAACTTGCTCGAATAGTAACTTGAACGGAGAGCGAGAGCCAAGGAACTTTGAAGGCAAGCAATTAATAATGTAAACCGCGGAGCTAAAAGCATGAACCCAATATTTTGCGGGAACATGACCATGAAACATCATAGCAAGCCCAATTTCAATGATGTGACGGTGCTTACGCTCGACCCGACCATTATGTTGCGGGGTGTAGGGACACGACACCCGATGAAAAATGCCATGCGAATTTAGCAAACTTTTGACCCGATTATTTAGAAACTCCGATCCACCATCACTTTGGAAAACCTTAAGTTTGGCGGAAAACTGGTTTTCCACAAATTTAATAAAGGATGAAAAAATGTCAAAAAAATCTGATTTAGCCTGCATAGGATAAAGCCAGGTGAAACGAGAGTAGTCATCGAAAAATGACACATAATATCGAAATCCATCAACCGAGGGAACCGGCGATGGTCCCCAAAGATCACAGTGCACCAGATCCAATACATGTAAAGCACGCTTATTGTTAATAGTAAACGACAACCGTCGAGAGTTAGCAAGTTCACAAGGAGAACACAAAATTGGTTTTGGCAAAACACTAGAAAGCATTAATAGTCCAAGTTTATTTAACATAAAAATTGTGTCAAATGACACATGCCCCAAACGGGAATGCCAAAGTTCAAATGAAGCATGCAGCTTGGCCCCGACAACAAACGCATAAGCTTTAGGAGTGGTGTCCAACATGTTGAGGCCGCGATCACATTTTCCTTGTGCTAGAACTTGCCTCATTGTTCGATCCTGAATAAAAAGCACGGATTTGGAAAAAAGAACATCCACAGGATTGTTCCGAGTTAGTTTGCTAATAGATAATAAGTTTGTGGTGAGGCGTGGTTCCACTAACACATCACGTAAGTGAATATTTGGGACAATTTTCAATGCACCAACGGAAGAAATTTTAAGAGTGTTACCATTGCCAAATTTAACGGAAGCATCACCACCATAGTGCTCGGAATTAGAGACCGAACCGGTTGAGGAAACCATGTGATCGGAGGCTCCGGAATCAACAAACCAATCCGGGCCGGTGGTAGAAATATTGCACTTGGCTAAGAACGCCTTAGTGAGATCGACTTCATTGGAAGACCCTGGTGAGGCAAACGAGGCAAGTTGGGGACAATGGTTAGCAAAATGACCATTTTGCCTACAAAGTTGACAGTGAGGTGGCCACGACCACAACCTCAACCACCACCATGGCCGCACAACCACCACGACCCCGTCCAGATGCCGACCAAGCAGGGGATGCACCGGCAGAAAACGCAACAGCAGAGGGTGAAGAAGCTTCGCCATGTATAGCCTTCAAGAAAAATTCACGACCTTCGGCCTTAGCCAGAAGATCACACAACTGGTAGGAGGCACCGGAGGTCCGAACTGTTGTGGAAAAGGTTTCAAAAGACGCACCGAGGCCGCACAAGAACCAATGAGTCTTATCGGAATCATCGACAACTTGGCTGATAGCAGTGAGTTGATCACACAGCAACTTAAATTTGTGACCAAACTCAGAGACAGAGTCGGTGCCTTTGGTGAGATGGCGAAGGCGGTCACGAAGGTTTTGAGTGCGAGTTACCGTAGGCAGCTTCAAGAGCATCCCAAATCTCACAAGCTGTGGATAGTCCCACGATCTCAGAAAAAGCCTCTTTAGTGAGCGAAGCTTGAAGGAGAATGAGAGCCTTTTGATCCGATGAGACCCACTCTGCAAAGGCGGGGTTAACAGTGGGCTTATTGTCTACCAGAATGGACGCCGGTGGGGACGGATTGGAGCCGTCAACATGGCCGTAAAGCTGCTGATAGCTCAAGAGAGGAATCATTTGATTCCGCCATAAAAGATAATTCGAGGATGACAACCGAATGGTGATTAGATGGAGGATTGTTTTCATCGACAGGGTGGAGGAGTCGGCTGCCATGGAGGAGGTGAGGGGTGGTGGAAAATGGAGGAAAGCCGATGGGTGGGGGTTAAGGAAAGGAGAAGAGAAAAAGAAGGAGGTTATGGGAGAGGAAGGAGGTGGGATTAATGGCTCTGTGATACCATGAGTGAATGTAAAACTCAATGCCCTCAATGACATGAGTAACTCAATATATAGGAAAAGAATTACATTTACAACCTCTCAAATAATAAATGATTATACAATGAACACAAAATTTACATAAGTCTAATAATAATAGCTCTTATTCGATCGTTGATTAATGTTATAAATGTGATTAAATTTGTTCAAATGCTTTGATTTGCTATAATTGGGACTATATATAGTTGCATATTTTCTGTTTGTGATTCATAGATTTGTAGGCAGAGCACACTGTTCACTTGATTTGTCCTCATCTACCTGCTACAATGAATTTGTGTGAATTTCCAGAGCTTAAAGAGATACAGCAACCATGGATTCATCATCCCCGCATCAGTCAAAGTACGCTAAAACAGCTAATCAATGATCCACAAGTCCGGTTATTTCACAGTTGATTCGGCTTTCTTTTTAGACCCACAGAATTCAAATCTGGTTTTGCTTTTTTTTTCGTTATCATTAACTCCACCTACATAACATGTAATACTGTCACTACCAAAGTATAAATTATTACCAAAGTGTAAATTATTTT